TTTATTTTTATATTATTTAATTTAAAAATTTATTTGATACTAAACATTTTTTTTTTTTAATTTTTATAATATAGTAATGTTTATAATTTTTTTTCTTTGATTCTGTATTTTTTTTAAAAAAAAAACTTAATAAATAATAAAAAGGACATTATTATATATTTTAGCCTGAAAAAAACCATTAAAAAATAATAATAAATAACTAAAGTATAAAAAAAACATAAAATGCAATCTTTAAAATAAGTTTATTAAATATTACTTTAAATAATAATATCACATCATGTTTTGAATATTTCAAGCATTTATTAATTTTATTCAAATTAATTATTATTATTTTATTTTAATTTATCTTGTTTTTTAATTATTTTATTTTTAAATATTATTTCTAGATTAACCATATATCCTTTTTGTTGACTGTAAATTGTTAATAAATAAATATAATATATAACATTATATTAAAAAATAGTGATTTTATGTTATCAGTATTAAATATAATTAATTACTTTTCATTTTAGTACTGTTTTTAGGATATATTTTATTACTTAATTGATTTCGAATTAAATTTCCCTATATTAAAAAAATAATTAAAAAACTACAAAATATAATCCACATTTAATTTTAAAAATAATATATATGTATATCCTTTTTTTTTATTATTTTCCCTTTGAAAAATACTATTTTTTGAATGTTTATATTGTTAGTTATAAACAATATTTTAAAATATTTAATTATTAATATAATATTATTTAAATAAAAATATATGTTTAGTTAATTTTACTACATTATAATATTTTGAATAATATATTTATTTACTATTATTTAAAAGAAATTATTTCATTTATCTCTCTAAAAATCAAAGATTTTATAAAATAAATTAGGTTTTTACTATTTAACTATAATTAAATTATTATTAAGTTTGATTTAGGTATACTAAGCAAGGGTTTAGTTTTTAAAATAATAATTATTTATTGTTATATTCTAATTTAAATTTAAAACAAATATAATTTTATTCTTAAATATTAATTTTAATAAATAATGTTACAAATAATTTAATATTTTATTTTATTATTTTAATTCTAAAAAAATATTTTAATCTGCTTTGATATCTAATATTAAAATAAATTATATTATAATTTGGAATAAATAAAAAATATTTATGAATATTTTAAAACGTTTATTTTTATATTATAATAATTAATCTATTTTATTTTTTATAATTTTTATATTTTTATCTATAATAATATTTTATATCATTATTTAATGATGAATTAATAAAAAATGTTATTATTATTAATTTTAAATTCAATGTAAAATAAAAAATAAACTTATTAATCATATAAATTATTTTTAAATACACATAAGTATTACCTTATTAATATAATATTAAAAATTATCTGACAGACATATTTATATTAGTATTTAATTTTTAATTTAAAAACAATATAAATACTAATATTAAAAAATATTAAAATAAGGATTAAAAAAATGTTATTTATATGATTCAAAAAATCAAATTTTTCAACTTATTATTATAAATATATTGTATTTCGGATTTCATAATCACTAAAATATATATTTATTTATTTTGATTTGTAAAATAAAAAAAATTGAGATTTTTATTTTTTAGGGTTTTTTTTTTTCTTAAATAAAATATTATATATAAATAAGCATTTTATTTTATTAAATAAAATATATAATATATGATTCAAATTGTTTATGAAAATGGATTTTATTAAATAAATTCTTAATAATTATAAATAAAAACTTCTTAATTGCTTTAAGAAATTTCTGAAAATATACCTAATCAAACAGTTTAAAAAACAATATAGAATATAAAAGAAGTTAATTTATTATTTAGTTAACTTTACTATTAGCTATAATAAAAATATATTGAACAAAACTAAGGGATTTAAATCATTTTATAAGAAAAAACTTAAGCAAATTAACTTCAATAATTTTATTAAGAATTACAAACAATAAGTTAGAGCTTAAACAAATTCAAAGAAAAAATTAACCATTTAGCAGAATAAAAACAGCATAATAACAAATTATATATATAACCATTTAAAAAAAGATCAAAAAGGGCTCTATCTACATCAGAAATAAATACTAATTTTTATATGTAAATTTCGCCAAAATCTTTTATAAAAAGTATTATCAAAAATTAAATATAATTTTCATTTTATATTTATAAAATAAATAGTTATATCGCAGGATAAAAATAAATATCAATAATAATAATAGAATTAAGATTTTAATTAAAGTAAATATTAATTATAATAGTGTTTAATTGAAGAATCTATAATAAACAAATAAAAAATTTTAAAGAATGATAATGTAAAAGAAATAATAAAAAATTAAAAATATAATAGTGATTGTGATTAAGGAGACTAATAAGACTAATAAAAAGCTTTAAACAAAGATAATTAAATTATAATTTAAGGTTAAAATTAAAAAAAAATTGAAGAATATTAAACAATAAAAGATTAATAAAGTATTTAATAAGAAAAATAAGGTAATTTATTTAATATAATAACAATTTAAAAAATAATTTATAAATTAAAGAAGTATAATATTAAAAAATGGAAGAAGAATAATAAAATGAATAATAAGCCAATTAAGAGGATAATAATTTACAATTAGTAAATTAAATAGAATAAATAAAAGATTAAATACATTAATAAGTAAATAAAAGTGAATTAAATGAAGATGAAAGCGACTAATATGAAAATGATAATTGTAATAAAAAAAAATCAATTGAAAATGATAATTGCAATAAAAAAAAATCAATTGAAAATGATGATATAAATTCAGATTCTAATTTAGAATAAATAAATTAAAACATTCCAAAATCAATAGAAAATGCATAATTTAATCGCAAAATATAAGACTTTATATTAGGAAAGAAAATAGGTTCAGGTAGATTTGCAGAAGTATATTTAGCAACGTAAAAAATATTTTAAAAAATTAAATAAATAATAAAAGTGATAAAATTACAGGATTCAAAATAGCTTTAAAAATAATAAAAAAAGAAGTAATATAAGAATTCAATTTATTATAAGATATATGTAATGAACTTAAATGTTAAATGGTAATTAGACATCCGAATTTGATAAATTTATATGGATTTTTTGTTGAAAATTAAAACTTTTACTTAATTTAAGAAATAGCTGCTGGAATTGAACTTTTTAGTGAATTAATGAAATAACCTTAAAAAAGATATCCAGAAATGAAAGTTGCAATATATATTAGATAAATAATACATTCATTAATGTATTTACACGAATAAAATATAATTCATAGAGATATTAAACCAGAAAACATAATGGTTTGTGATGGTGTTTTAAAATTATGTGATTTTGGGTATGCAACTGGAATTATAAAAAAATAACGAAGAAAAACATTTTGTGGAACTCTTGATTATTTATCACCTGAAATGGTTTTAAAATAACCTTATGATTATAGTGTGGATATTTGGAGTGTTGGAATATTGACTTTTGAATTAATTTTTGGAAAAGCTCCTTTTACATAAAGTGATGATTAAGACGAAGTATTTGAAAGTATTTTAAAAGTATTATTTTTTTAAAAAATTTTAAATTGTCATTTTATTTATATTTTAGTAAGATTTAATTTTCTTTGGACCTATTTCATTTGAAGGTGCTGAGTTTATTTAAGGTTTGTTACGCAAAGAAGTTGATAAGAGAATTACTTTAAGCGAGGCTTTTTATCATGATTTTATAAACATAAATATGGATAAATTTTAATAAACAATAAATAATAAAGAAGTAGATAGTTAAGATATTAAACTTCTAAAGTAATAATGAATAATAAATGTTTTTTTTTTAAAAAAAAGTTTTAATAAAAATTATTATTTTTTATAAAAAAAAAAAAAAAAAGATAATTATTTTATGTTAGTGTATTTTTTCAAGTAATTATATTTTAAATTAAATTTGAATATCTATTTTTTTTTCTTTCTTTTTTTTCTATATAACTACTATCATATCATTTAATTATTTTCTTTTGTTAATGCTAAACAAATAAACAAATATTATTTGACTTCAAATTAAAATATATTGTAGTAAACATATTTTGTTTAAAATGATAAAATAATTATTCAAATTTCAATTTTAATATTCTTGTTTATAATTTGATTAATATGTTTTATAAAATCATGATTATTAATTATATAAATTATTATTATTAGAATTAATTCCGCGGTTATTATATTTATAAAAAAAAATATAAAAAAACGTTTAACATTAATTTTTAGATTTTTTAATATTTAAATATTAGCATAATCAATATTTTTTAGAATTTTTAAAATATTTTAATGTTTTTATTAACTAACAAAGTATTTCTTATTTGTTTTCTCAATAAAGAACTTAATTTTTATTTATTATTTTTCACATTAATATTTAATTTTATTTAAGTAATTTAGATGAAAATACAACTAAAATAATAATTTAAATTTATTTATAAAATAAATAAATATAAATAATTTTTTTATTAAAAAGATATTAAAAAAAATGCCTTATTTAAAACTTCCAACATTTAAATTAGGAATAAATCCTTCTGCAAGAAGTAAATTTGATCCAAAAAATTTAACAGGTACATAAAAAATCTAATTAGCTTCCTGTAGAATTTTCGGTTCTACAATAGGTGGAAATTTAAGAAGTGGTGGTAAAGAATTGAAAAAACGTGATGTTTCACACAAAATTTTAGTAAAATGAAAAGCTATAAAATATATAATTAATATAAAAATAAAAGGATGAATTTAATATTAAATCTTATGATATTTTTGAAGGCTTCCCATGGATACAAAATTAAGAAAGAAAAGAATGGCTAAAAGAATAAATGGAAGAAAGAAAAATGAGAATTTTAATGAGAGGTATAAAAATAGGAAAGAAAAAAGGTGGTGGAAAAGTTACTTTAATGGATGTTTTGGAAACTAAAAAAAATGATAGTTTTGATTTTTGAATAATATTTTTAAATGGGCGAATAATAGAAATTTGATTTTAATAAATTAAATATAAAATTAAAATAAAAATTTATATTAGTTTTATTTTAAATATTAATTATAATTTTGCAATTTACTTATAGAAAAAAAATTATTATTATTATTAAATATATGAT